TTTATTTTTATTTCCTCTCGAAATCTCGCTGTTTATTTATTTTTCTCCCGTCTTCCCCCCCCCCTATGCTTGCTATTTTACTTTCTTGATTAGGTCACCGGTACCCTACCCTAGCCTTAAACCTCGGTTAGGGTTTTCTTAGGGGTTTTGTAGGGTTTAGGGTTCCTCAAAACCCTCCTACTTCCCCGTCCTCTTCGGGCACCCTGGACCTGAACCACCCCTCCCCATTTGACGGCGCGCGTGCTAGCCTTGCTAGCGCCGTTCGCCGCTTTCTACCGCGGACTTCCCCCTACGCCCTCCGCTCACGCGGACCTCTTCTGGCCCCCTCCAGTCCGGTCTGTCATCTCCCCATGGCCGACGGTGCGTCACACGCCGTCTACACGGCGATGACCACGGCATCGGGCTCCACACCCGTGCCGGCGGACCAAGGCCATCAGCCCCAGGGGGCTCTACACACCCTCCTCACCTCCCTCCTCGCGCCCATCCAGGCGCAACTCGCGACCCTCGGGCCCTTACAGGCGCAGGTGGCGACCCTTGCCGCCGGCGTGCAGCAACTCCAGGACGCTGGTCGTCCTTCCTCTCCTCATCCTCTCTTCTCCTGTCTCTCAGTCCGGGTCCCCAGTTCTCCGACAGGGTGGCCACGGCGGAGTTTCCTCCTTTGCTGCCCCCGACCCGACCATTTTGGTGACCGTCCACGCCCCTAGCTCGACGGCCGCCACGAGTCAGGCCCTTCCTCAGTCTACGGGCACACCGGCCCAGATTCCCGTTATGACGGCCACAGGACCACAACCCGTTACCATGGTTTCAGCGTTTCCGGGTGCCCCGCTCCTCCCCCCCCTTCGCACGACCGCAGCGCCACCTGGCTCTCCCCCCTCTGGGATGCCCCGCGCCGCTTGTGCATCCACTTCCTCCACTCTTCCCCCTGCTACCCCTCGCACGACCTACGTTCGAGGTCTCGAGGATGAGATTGCCCAGCTCCAGGCCAACCTCGCCCTCTTACGCCTTCAGCCACCCCCACCCTCATAGGTGGCCACACCTTCGGGCGCACCCACTACCTCCTCTACCCTTCCTCCCATGCAGGATCGTTTTCCTCGCCCTGCACCCTATACAACTCCTTCCTACCTTCTTCCTACTCCCGCGGTTGCTGCGACCTCTTCCACCGCAGCACCCTCGCAGCCTRCCGCTGTTGCCACCGCCGCTCCCCCATGCGGCCCGGGCGCACAATCAGTTGCGCCCCTTTCTTCAGGACCTGCGCCGACTCACTCAGCCGTGGCACAGGCCTCCGCTCCTCGATCCCCTCGCCGCCAAAACGGTGGCACGCCACTCATCCGCTTGTCGGACATTGCCTTGTATGACGGTACAGGCATACGCGTGTCTCGGTGGCTGCAGTCTGCCACCAGCGCCACACCCGAGACGTGGGTGGGTCACCTCTCCACGCGCCTGCGTGGCGATCCTTTCGAGGCCTGGGAGGATTTCTATGCCTATTCCCTTCGTGAGGGTCGGACTTCGACCTTCGTGGATTTCCAGGCGTTCCTCGAGGATCACTTCGGAGCCCGATACGACGTGACTGACTCCTTCGAGCGTGTCGTCACTACACGCTGGTCCGGCTCTGGTGGCGCTGCCGGTCTGGATCGCCACATCCAGGTCTTTCAGGACGCCCGCCTCGTTTGCGACGTGGCGTTCCTCCCCAAGGCTGCCCTTATCGATCGTTTCTTGGCCAGCCTTCCGCTCGAGTACCGCTCCGAGCTATGGCGGTACGAGTTCACATCGGCCCCACAGGCTTGCGACGCCGCCAGGGACCACCAGCGGATGCAAGCCCGTCTTCAACCCGCCTCCTCCTCCCAGCCCCAGCGCACGGGCTACGCCGCCTCCTCCTCTCACGGCACTTCCCAGCGCCGTTCCCCTTTCCGCGGTCTTCCCCACCATTCCACGCAGCAGGGCCGCCACTTCTCGCGCCGCTTCAGCGCGCTGGAGTATGGTGAGCAGGACGTTGTTGCCCCACTGTCATCTGAGGGCGACCACAGCGACGACCTCGATCTCTGCGAGGTCGTCCACTATCACTTGGAGGACTCTACCCTCCCTGCAGCTGAGCGCCTTCAGCTCGCGCTCTCTGCCCTCTCTCGGGCACGCAGCTCGGTCACGCTGGCGCATCGCTCCCCGAGGTCCCTCAGGAGGACCTCCCTCAGGGCTTCGTCCCTCCTCGTGGTGTCCTTTCCCCTGAGGAGCGTGCGGCTATTTTGGGCCGGCGTGGGTGTTTGCGCTGCCGCTTGGACGGTCATACCTCCTCGCGGTGCCCTTACACTACCGCCCTCAACCGCCACTACGCTGACCTTTCTCGTCAGCGTCATGCTCAGTCCCCCCCCGGCGCCTCACGTCCCCGCGGCGCCTCCTAGCCACGGTGCAGTGTACACCTGCGCCCTCCTCAGTAGTGGGCTTCCCGACATCTCCGTTGTGGTTCCCCCCTCTCGTTACTGGAGTTGAGGTATCGCAGGACTCGACAGAGTGTACTCAGCCCTCTGTCGCAGTGCCGTCTGCGCCTCCGCAGACCACCGTCTCCCCTCCTTCCCCGCCGCGACTACCGACGCGTCGAGCCATTCGCTCAGCCCGTTGCAGCGAGCAGCTTGCTACTCGCGAGGACGTTGTGTCCTCTCTTCTGGACTTGAGCATGCTCCAGGCTCGTCAGGAGCGACTCACCCTCCATGTCGCTGCACTGCGTCGCCTTCTCGCCATCCTCTCTGACCCTGATCGCACCATCCCGATCATCCCCGTACGACTCCGGACCTCCACGAGGGTGTACTCAGCGCTGTGGGATTCCGGTTCTCAGGGCGACTTCATTCACCCACGCGTGGTGAAGGAAGCCCGCTTACCCACGACAAGGTCTCCGACTCCCATCTCCATTACCCTAGGGGATGACAAGACCCAACGCTTCTTCGATCAGACGGTCACCGACCTCCCCTTCTTCGTCACTCTCGAGCCGACTGAGCGTTCCCCGGCGTCTCGTCGCCACCGCTCCTTTGCACATTTCGATGTGATGGACACGGGGTACGACTTCATTCTCAGCACTCCGTGGTCTCGTCGGTTCCGCAGCACCGAGGCCGATTGGGCGACCAACACTCTCGTTCTCAAAACGAAGTGTGGACAGACGTATCGCATACCTTTCATAGGTACCACGGCGACACCACGCCCTAATCCTCCTCCCCTGGAGCCTTCAGTGCCCACACCATCTCCCTCTATCACTGTCACCTCGCCTCGGCAGTTCGCTCACTTCATTCGACAGAACGACGTCACCTTCTTTATGGTGGACGTGACGGATCTCTTACACTATGATCCACCCTRTCSCGACGCCGAGCTCATCCCTCTGGAGCCAGATCCTCCCTCTATCTCCATGGCTCCCATCTCTACTTCCGTCCCTCCGCCGTCCGTCGAGTCCACCCCACCGTCGCGCGCTGACGCTGACGCTGAGGAACTCCCACGATATACGGCTGACTTGGAGCCCGCAGTTCGTGACCTCATCCAAGAGTACCACGACGTTTTCCCGTCGTCGTTCTCGTACGCCAGCATCCCACCGATGCGTGACGTCGAGCACTCCATTCAGCTCGTGCCTAACTCTCGTGTTCACCACCAGGCACCCTACAGACTCTCGATCCCCGAGGCCACCGAACTCAAGCGTCAGCTTGAGGAGCTTCTGAGACTGGGTTTCATTAAACCCAACAACTCCCCGTGGGGTGCACCCCTCCTCTTTGCTCGCAAAGCGGATGGAACTCTTCGTCTCTGCATCGACTACCGCGGCCTCAACCGCTACACGGTTAAGAACAGCTACCCCATGCCTCGTTCCGATGAGCTGTTCGACCGCCTAGCAGGCAACCGTTTCTTTGCGAAGATTGATCTTCGTAGCGGTTACCATCAGATCTATGTCGCTGCAGCCGACCAACCGAAGACCGCGTTCCGATCGCGATTCGGCCACTACGAGTTCACGGTGATGCCATTCGGCCTCACCAACGCACCCACTACCAGAGGGCAATGAACGACATCTTCAGGAACATCCTGGAGTAGAACGTTCTCGTTTACCTCGACGATATCCTCGTCTATAGTCGTACCCTTGAGAAGCATCTCAGACACTTCGCGACGTCCTTGATCGCTTGCGCAGACATGGCTTCTACGCCAAGCTAAGCAAGTGTCACTTTGCCCAGCACAAAGTGAATTTCTTAGGACACTACGTGTCTGACCAGGGTCTCCACATGGACGACGCGAAGATCACTGCTATTGCGGAGTGGCCCGCTCCCACATCTGCCAAGCAGCTTCGCAGCTTCCTAGGCTTGACCAGCTACTAAAGTAACTTCATCCGGGGATACGCTAGGTATTCCTACATCCTTACCTCCACCGTCCTCCGGAAGAACCCACCCCGGGCTTGGACACCCTTCCACGAGGACGCCTTCCGCGCCCTCAAGAAGGCGGTGACATGCGCACCGGTTTTTCACCTACCCGATTTTGACCGCCCTTTTATCCTTACCACCGATGCGTCAGACTTCGCTGTAGGAACAGTGCTTTCTCAGATCTTCCCCTCATATCCTGATTCCTCTCATCCTCATATCCCTCGCTTCCCACCACCTACACCTACCACTGCTTCCCGACTGACGCCTACTCGTCCAGCTACTGACGAGCCTTCTATTGACTATTCTCCTACCATCGCCGAGGACGGCACTGTCGAGTCTCGCTCAGGTGATTGTCCGATAGCCTTCAACTGCCGTCAGCTCCTGCCCGTCGAGATAAACTACACTGCTGATGAACATGAGGTTCTCCCAGTAGTTTATGCCGCTCGACATTGGCGTCACTACCTGCACGGGGCACCATTCACGGTGCGCACGGACAACTCTGTAGTCCAGGCTTTTCTGAAAAACTCGACAGGCTCGCTGGTGGCGCGACCTATCCGAGTTTAGTTTCACCACTGAGCACATCAAGGGTGAGACTAATTGGGTCGCCGATGCCCTATCCCGGCGCCCTGACCACGACCAGGAGCACATCCAGCTCTCTTCCATCTCGGTCAGCACCGTCCACCACTCGGTGATCGACGAGTTTCGCACTCAGTACCGCCACTGCCCCGACTACCGCGACATCCACGCAACCCTTCGGAGTGGCAAGAGCGTCCCGAACTACTCTCTCGGGGACAACGGTCTTGTGTACTGGCACGGTTCATAGGGCACCAAAGAGCCCCGTATTTGTGTTCTCTCCACTGGACAGCTACGTGTCCGAGCAGTAGCAGAGTTCCATGACCAGGCAGCTGTCGGTCATATGGGCTTCCACAAGACGTTGGCTCGTGTGAGCCGCCTGTACGTCTGGCCGAAGCGCAAGGACTTTGTGAAGGACTACGTTGCAGAGTGTCCCACCTGTCAGGAGGTGAACAATGCGAACCACTTACCTTATGGTTTGCTCCAGCCTCTTCCTATCCCTGAGGATCGTTGGCAGTCCATCTCGATGGACTTTATCGGTCCTCTTCGACCTCCGACCCCCCGCGGTCATGATGCTATCCTGGTCGTCGTCGACCGCTTCACGAAGCGTGCACGCTTTGTTCCGTGCCGCTATGCCATCAATGCACGTGAGGTTGCCGACATCGTATTTGACCGAGTCGTGCGTGACCACGGCTTACCTCTGAGCATCATATCTGACCGTGACCCGCGCTTTACCAGCCGATTCTGGCGACGACTCCACGAGGTGTACGACACTCAGCTCCGTTTCTCCTCGTCTTACCATCCACAGACTAATGGTCAGACCGATATCACGAACAGGACTTTCGGGGATATTCTCCAAAAGATTGTTCGTGACGACCAGCAGTGGGATCTCCATCTTGCCCACGCGGAAATAGCCTACAACCACGCCGTCTCGCCAGCCGCGGGGATGTCGCCTTACTATTGCGACCTCGGCTATCACCCGCGTGTTCCCGCGGACTTCCTTCGACCGTCCCAGATGCACCCCGACACGAGTTGTCCCGCGCTGGATGATTGGGTTGCACACATGACGTCGATTATGAAGACCGCACATAAGCACATAGCCGCTTCCCAGACTCACATGGCAGCACGTGCGAACCGATCGAGGATGGATCACCCATTCAAGGTCGGCGATGATATGCTTATCGACGCCCGCCACTTACAGCTCGAAGCGGACACGCTTCGCAAGTTTCGGCGTCGCTTCTTTGGCCCATGCCGTATCCTCCAGGTCCGTCGGTTCTGATACGGCATCTAACCCGATCAGCTTTCGTGTGAAGCTGCCCGACTACCTACGCCAGCCTCATGTGCATGATGTCTACCACGTCTCATTACTGCGTCCTTACCGCAGACCGTCTGAGCGTTTCGCTGGACGACCATACGAGCGCCCTCCACCCATCATGGTGGACGGCCACGAGGAGTTCCTCGTTTCAGACATCATTGGTCRCCGAGTCACCGACGMCAACCCTCCCCACGTCKAGTATCTCGTACGTTGGAAGGGTTACCCTGATGAGGAGGCTACCTAGGAGCCCCTCGAGCACTTGGAGCACGCTCGCATGTTGGTGCGTGCCTATGACCGTGCTCGTCATGCTGGGTTCACTGCTCCTCCTCAGCCCACTGACTCTCCTCCTTCTCCTCCGGCTGAGGAGTCCGCTGAAGTTGAGCCTGCTCCATCTGAGGCAGACCTTCAGCAGCAGCCGGATGCTTCTGAGCGTCCACAACGCACTCGTCGTCGTCCTGCTCGATACGACGATTGACTCTGACTTACCTTCCCACGTCTTTGACTTCTCAGTACTCCATCCACATCAGTTTTGCTACTTCAGCTCATCGACGCTGCGACTCTTCCTTGACGGCATTCCGAACATCTCATCGTGGACGTCATCGACAGCTTCATGGACTTCATCACGATATGCTCTGCCTACTTCAGACGTCGCCACTCTCTTACCACTCTACCCTGTACAGTACCCTGCTTGTGTCGCATGATGGTCTCCCTTTAGCCGGGTTCCTCTGAGTTGGGCTCTCCCTTGGTATACGCATAGTCATCGGGACCGTAGCGTTGCCCTGGCTTCCCATCTTACGGATCTAGCTCCGACTTCCCTCACTTTAGGAATTATTTGCATGATTCCCTTACCCATCATCTTTCTACCCTTCGCCGGCCCTCACGCCCTAGTTAGGCAGCCCCACATGCTTCATCCCAGTATACCAGGCTCCCTTGTTCCCTTGCATGGTCAACCCTCCATAGCGGTCACCCCTTAGTCGAGCATTACCCGCCCTGATGGTCTATCTATTAGGGTCATTGGTTCTGTTCGCTCCCAATTCCCTACCCTCATTGAGCCTGATGACATGTGTTTTCCCCTGTCACTATATGTGGATGCCCTTAGGAGTTTTCRACCCCTAGGCTGCATTCGCCACCCTCAGAGACCATCCCACCCTTCGGTGTGCGACACACTTCTCATGTGACATATGGTTGTCTTSTTGATTGCTTTGTTGCTCTCAGACTGAGGCTACTGCCTCCGACGTTTCTAGGATTTAGCTGCTCTGCTTTTGCTGTTCTTAGGTCTTATACACTAGTCAGTTGTTACCAGACTGAGGCTAGTGCCTCCAACATTCTAGGATCTAGTTGTCACTACTTTTTGCTTTCCTAGGACATGTATGTTAGTTAGTTGCTCCTACTTTCACTTAGGCTGTTAGCTGTGACATTGCTGTTTTGTGACATTTTATATCCTAGGTTGCATCGCATGGACTCAACATGGAGCTTGCTCCGCATCCTAGACTACTCAGGTTTTCTTTTCTTTGGTAGAGTTTCGCTTCTTGGCGAAAGCATGTCTGTATCTAGGCGATCCATCACAGGCCAAGGATCGTGTAGCGGAGCTCGGGTTGGCCTGTGAGACCAGCCCCTTGGCCTGTTCTCACAGGCCTGTGTTATATTCCGGGTAGGCCAGTCCAGGCCGGTACCTCTGTCGGTACCAGCCAGTCCAGTCCAATCCTGTCAGTCCACTGGGGTATACCCCAGCCATTGTCTGTTTTCAGTCTCATTCCTCACTTGCACATTTTGGAGTACGTGCGTTGGAGTCTTGCGTGGGGAGCTGCGTTGTGCCATCTTGCTCCCCCTTCTTCCTCCATCTCCATCTCTGTCACTAGCGGAGCACCACACCTGGTGGGTCTGCTACAACATCGATGCACCGACCACCAAATGCTCCGGGCGCATCGATTAGTCATGAAGGGCACCTACCCGATCATCCGACTAACAGCTCAAAGCCTTATCATTCACCTCACCCTATTCCTGTCTATCTCCTCTCTGCCCGGATCCTCCCTACCGCAGTACAACTAGAAGGAACTTCCACATGTCGATAATCCATCACAAACTACCAATAGGTTGTTGCCTCTTGTCTCAATGAGCGCTTGCAGAGACAACGTCCTCCTCGCCCATAGGGCTCTTGCCCATAGGACTCGGACTCTCCTCTTCCCTCAATGGGTGCTTGCAGACACAACGTCCTTCTCCTCGCCCATAGGGCTCTTCTCCAATCGTCATCCTCCTATGAAAACTTGCTTTCCCCCCTTGTGTCTATGTGTTTTCACTTGCATAACCTTCCCCCACTTCCTTCCACCACTTGTCTATGTGTTTTCACTTGCATAACCCTCCCCCACTTCCTTCCGCCCCTTGTCTATGTGTTTTCACTTGCATCACCTTCCCCCATAAAACAACCCGTCCCCACACGGCCTGGTCATTAAAGGGCCCAGCAGTGCCAAAAATCTAACAAGTCTTTTCCACCTCCTAGCGTCTTCACCCGAATAGAACGCCGCCCGGTCATGATCGCTGCATTTGGACCGAAAGTTGTGCCAAATACAGATATAATGACCAGGCGTTCTATTCGGGTGAAGACAGTCATCGCAGTGGGGTGCACAAACTAGGGGAGAAAAGGAAAAAAAAAAAAAAAATCGCAAAAAAATGAAAACCTTTGCCACCACTTTTTTTCCACCTCTGCTTTTTCTATTTTCAAAATACTTTCTTCACCTTGGCTTTTTTTTCCTTTCCCTATCCGTAAAACACTTACATTTTCCGAACAAATGACCCACCTGGCCCCTTGATTTTTTCAAATTTCTTGATTTTTTCAAATTTCTTCATGCATAGTTCTGACTCCTGAGAACTCCCGAGTGACCAAAATCGCCTCCAGAGTGCAAACACTCCCTATACCTCCCTCGCCCTCTCTCTACCTCTGCTCTACCTCAATAGCCGTCGGCCGTAGGCAATTCCTGAAGGAGCCCATCCTATAGGAAAATGATAGAGGCAATTCCTACAAAGGAGGCAATCCTATAGGGAAAAATGGTAGAGGCAATGCCTACAGAGGAGCCAATCCTATACGAAAAAATGGTAGAGGCAATGCCCACAGAGGAGGTAATCCTATAGGAAAGAATGATAGAGGCAATTCCTACAGAGTCACAATGCCGGAGCTTCAGCTCCATCTTCGCAGAGCTGCAAGAATGCCTTCACCCACTCCTCAAGGAATTGGTCATTTTCTTTTTTATTTCTCGTCAGTCGTTCTCCTCTAGAAATTGGTCCATCTTCGGCCTCTGCACTATCTTATTCCCCCGTATACAACGCAAGGTCATTCTAGCTGTATTTGGGACACATCTTCTTTTCAGTATAAATACATCTTTGATGACCGTGAGAAGTGCAATACCGCCGTCTTCATAGACCTGCTGGAGGGTCGTTGAGGCCTTCCTCTGCCCAAATGTCCGAACTACATGTAGACGGGGCTTTCCTCTGGACTGGAATTGCAATCGAGAGATTCCACAGATAAAAGGAATGCCCTCAGCCATTATCCTCCACAAACTACATGTAAACGAGGCTTTCCTCTGGACTGGAATTGCCCTCACCCATTATCCTCCACAAACTACATGTAGACGAGGCTTTCCTCTGGACTGGAATTGTCCTCAGCCATTATCCTCCACAAACTACATGTAGACGAGGCTTTCCTCTGGACTGGAATTGCAATCAAGAGATTTCACAGATAAAGGAATGCCTTCAGCCATTATTCTCCACGCCGTTCTCCTCCAGAAAGGGCTCGTTCTTGACAAAACTTGTCAAGCAAACTGCCTCCGTTCTTCATAGAGACCTTCAGGAGTGCCATCTGGCCTTCCTCTGCCCAAACGCCCCAAAGGTCGGTACACGAGGCATATATATTTCCATGGGAGTTTTAATCACTTCACAAATAAAAGGAATGGTCTCAGCCATTATCCACCAGAAATGGTCCCCAAGGTTACTTTTCCGGGTTGTTTGTGGAGGGATTCCCGGAGGGAGATCCCACTAGCCAGGTATGTGGATTAGTGTGACGGGTGGGGGACAGGTGGGTGGCAGCGTGAAATAGGGAAAATAAACGTCAAAAAAAACAAGGGCAAGAGTAACTCCATACACCATTTGCTGTAGGTGAGGGGATTGAACCCTCCCAAACACCTCCCAAAAAATAAGGGGGCACATGCATGTCAAAGGAAGAGGACAGAAGCATTGCCCATGTGAAACATTTGCGGGGACTACAGACAACTTGGACGAGGGTCTGACACGGACTGACATTCCCTCATGATGGGAAACACCGAAAAGTTTTGTTTTCGGCCTCTCTTCCACGCATGGGCCACAACCCAAAGGTGAGTGAAAGGTGAGTGAAAAGCAACACAAAGAAAATGGGTCTGATTTTCACTCACGTTCGGGACCCCCAGAGGAACACGGTAAGCAAAACAAAAGAAAGACCACCCAATGGGATGCTCCAAAAAAACATATATTTTGGAGGGCTAAAATACAGGAAAAACAAAACCACCGATCCCCATTCCCATCGACGGCGGAGACGGGTCACACGCCCTCTACACTACTCCACATACAACGCTAGTGGGATCTCCCTCCCAGCCTCCTTCCTTCTGTAATGAAATGCAAAGTTTATTTGTAAAAAAAAATAATTAACAAAAAAGAAATGGCTCCACCTTCCTTCATAAAGCTCGTCAAGCAAACTACCATCTTCAAAGAGCTGCTGGGCAGAGGTCCCACTAGCAAAAAGGATAGGATCGAGCTCCTGAATCTGGATGTGTTTTATGCAGAGATGCAGAAAAGCAGTTCAATCTCGATTTCCTGCACATCTCCATAACCTCGTCCAGATTCAGGCAAACATTCGATCCGATCCTCTTTGCTAGTGGGACCATGCCCCTGGAGTGCCCTCGGGACGACCTTCCTCTACTTCTTTCTTTCTTTCTTTTTGTTTTCCTTTTCTTTTCTTTATTTTCTTTCTTTTTTTTTTTGAAGCCCAGGTTGTTGTGGAGGTGGGATACTAGACAGATAAAAGTCACCCACACTAATCGGCCAATCGCTTGTCAAGATGAACCCCTCTGAAGATCCCACCCACCCTTCCTCTCATCTTTTGCCCAAGCATACCCCCAGCCTCCCCCCCCTTGTCCTACCCAAGTGTTTTAACCACCCAGGAAAGGTAGGTAGACTAGGGGTTTCATGTAATGTCAATGTACAGATTTCACAAACAAAAATAATGAAATATGCCCTATAGCCACTCTCCTCTAGGAATAGCTCCCTCTTTCATAAAGCTCCTCAAGCGGACTAGCTCCGTCTTCTTTTTCTTTTTTTTTTTCTACCGTGTGGTCCGATGAACCACGGATCAGATATTAAACTGATCAGAACAGATACTACACTTGATCTTAGCCAAAAGGCCGAGAAATCACCAGTACTTCCTAAAGTTGTGCACAAAAAACAAACAAACAAACAAAAGAAAGTTGTGCCCGTCTACCAGCCACGATTTCACGAAATCGGAAATCGTACGGGCCCCTACAGGAGCGCCCAAATTCACCCGAGTAGAAACGTTTCTACGCCATTCATTTTTTTCCACGCCCGATAGCTGGGCCAAGTACTGGTAGTTTAAAGTACCCTTACTCTTCTCTCAATTTCACCCTTCACTATCTACCTACCACTACCCCTAAAAGAATATATAGGGGACCTGATGCATGTTGCCCCCCTACCTCTCGCAATTAAGGGGATGCATGTTGCCCCCCGCCCAAGTCGGTGGTGGTCAGGGAGTAGCATGGGGGGCCGCAGGGGAGGGAGGAGGGGAAGGGGATGGGGACCACCCCCGCGAACGCAAGGACCGAGCGTTCTGCCAGTAGCTCGGCCTCCCAGTAGCTCCGTCTTCATAGAGCTGAGCTACTTGAGGAATGCCCCTTGGTCTTCCTCTGCACGAATATCCGAAAGATAAGAACCGAGGCAAGTTCAATGTACTTTCGATCAAGAATGGGATGTCATCATAGGACGTCGCTCCACTACTCACCAAATGCGCAAACCGAGGATGAATCAGCCGCTAGAAGATGGGAAGATACACCGCCGTAATTTTTCGGTCTTTTGTGCATGTGGTGAGTAGTGGAGCGAAGCCCATCGACTCACTCACACGATCAGAATCCTCGTGTGGTGTATGGTACAGAAAAAAAAGAGCGCTTGTCACACCGCCCCCTCCGTCCTTTTTCTCACAGCTTCCAATGTCGGCAAAATGACTCAAGAACAAATCCTCCACACCAATCGACGTCGATAAAATGACTCAAAGAACTAATCCACACCAATCGATTGCTGAGCATGCAGGTCGAAATATCATACAAACTCCCTCAGGGAGCACATCACTGCTGCGGCTCAAGCATCGCTTCGCTGCTTCGACGCACACTGACGATCATGTCAACTTGTGGGCTTTGACGGACACTCGTCGCTGCTTCGAGGAACACACCCAAGATCGAATCCTTTCGCTACACCCCTGAGCTGCTGAATTGCAGACCTGAGTTCAAACCCCGCCAGATACAGATGAGTAAAATACTAACAAAACCAAAACAAAAAGAAGGATCAAATCACGCCGCTTATTTCGAGGGGAGTCCAGCACAAAGGTTACTTCTTCACCTCTGCTCTCCATGGCACAGAGGTAACTTCTTCGCCATTGCTATCCATGGCACAGAGTTCACCACAGTTAAACTCTTTAACCTTCGATCTCCCTAACCAAGGTCACTCTTTAACCTTCGACCTCCCTCACCAAGGTTACCTCTTCACAATATCAAATCACGCCATGGCACACAGGTAACTTCGTCGCTCTTGCTCTCCATGGCACAGAGTTCACCACAGTTAAACTCTTTAACCTTCGATCTCCCTTCACAAGATCAAATCACGCCGCTTACTTCGAGGGGAGTCCGGCACAAAGGTTACTTTTTCACCTCTGCTCTCCATGGCACAGAGGTAACTTCTTCGCCATCGCTCTCCATGGCACGGAGTTAACCAGAGTTAAATAAATTCTTCCACCTTCGCTCTCCCTCACCAAGGTTACCTCTTCACCTCTGCTCTATCCAAATTGGTACAGCCTTACTTTTGAAGGACAGACCTGAGTTCAAATTCCGCCGGAATCAGATGAGTAGAACTAGTACACAAACGAAAAAGACCGAATCGCGCCGCTTAAATTCTTTCACCTTCGCTCTCCCTCTGATCACATCCCTTCGTTGCGCGCTGAGTGAGAGTCTTCCCCCCCCTCGAACGTTGTATGCTCATTATACTTGTATTTGGCGTACTCGTCCAACTAATCACCTCCCCTTCTTCAGTCTAGATACAGGCAGAGTCACCGTACGTGCTATTCGGGGGACGAACGGTACCGAGGCGGCGGCAACTCGTCCAACTAATCACCTTCCCTTCTTCATGAATTGACAAATCGCAAAATCCTTGATTACTATTACGGCGGGAACGAAAGAAAAAGAGCTCCAGTTCTCTGCATGCCTGATTTTTCGACTTGCGAGGAAAACATGAAAACCAGAGGGAGAGAAAGGGAGGAGGGGTATGAACAGACGAAATGAACACGCTCCACAGACGGGAACGAGCAGAGGACAACCAGCAGAACGACGAGGGAGAGGACACAGAGGACGGCGGCCATGGTGGCAAACAAGCACATCCATAGCAATCCAAAGACGACCAACAAAAGAATCGAGACCCCATCGATCTGTCAGTTGAAGGCTGATGGGTTTTGAGGAAAGGACGAGGCGGCAGAGGTGGCCACAAGCAGGAGCCGGGGGAGTGCACTCGATGACGGGAGGGCCAAACCGAATACGACGATAACGAGAAGAAGAAGATAAGACGAAGAAACCAAGAAGAAGAAGGAGAAGAAGATAAGACGAAGAAAACAAGAAGGAGAAAGGCGGAGGCAAGAACTGAAAGAGGATGAAACGAAGGAGAAGGAGGAGGAGGAGGAGGAAGCAATGGCGAAGGAGGAGGAGGAGGAAAAGGAGACGGATGAGAAGGACGGCGAAGCGGAGGAGGAGGACGAGTCGATGGAGTAGGACGAAGCGAACGAGAAGCAGGATAAGGAAGCGACGGAGCGTGGGGAAGAGGACGCGGAGGAGGAGGAGGAAGCAAACGATGAGGAGAATTCGAGTACGATGAAAGACATGACCGCGCTACATGGACTGAAAGGAAAGATGCTGCTGCCGTCCGTGATAGCGGGCAAGTAAGTTAGCAGCAAGCACCTCTCTCTCATTCTCTGTCACTCTTCTCTGCCCGTCTCTGCCTCTCCCTCCCCGCCTGCCCTTCTTCGTCTCCTCTGTCTCTCTCTGTTAGCTCACGAGACCACGGACGGCGCCGACAAGCAAAGGCTCACGTGGCCGCCAACCAATCCCTGTACACGCGCTCACAGCGCTATCAGATGCTAAGTGACACAGCGAACAAATAAGGGCATACTCACACTAGGATTACTTTATCAGCAATCCTCTAGACACTATTGCAGTCAGATTCATCCCGATCTAGCCGTGAATGCAGCCCCCTAAGATCAGATAAGATTAAGATGAAGATTGGATTCGATCTCGATCGCATCAGATCATCTCTCACTTTAATCTCTCACATCAACACAAATTGGGGTCGGTGGTTACGCTGCGGTGGGTATACGCATTCATCCACCCAGGTAGGCACCTAGCAAACCACACACACACACAACCGATCAGGCTTTCGTGCGCCCATAACACTCCATTACTTCCTTCCTTTGCCTAGAACGACACTACCTACGTTCACACAACTGATTGATATACTGTATTAGTAAATGCCCGAGATATAGTTCTGCAGGCGGCGCTGGACATCCTCCTTCTCCCGTAGAATCGTTTCCACCATGTCCCGAATGGAAACGATTCCCACGAGTTTCTGCTCTGGGCCCAGGACTATTGGGATGTGACGGATCCTATGTACGGCCATTAATCGCATGCACTCGTACGCACTCACGTCAGGGGTGGACACTACCAAAGTCTCCTTCCCTGTCATAACCTCTCCGACCTTGGTGGTCTTGGGTTCCCTACCCTCGGCGACGACCTTCTTCAAAATGTCTCTCTCAGTGACGATTCCCATGGGGTAATCCGTAGTGACACTATTGGCATCCACAACGACAAGCGAACCGACATCTCCAGCGTTCATCTTCTTCACGGCATCAATCACAAGATCGTCTGCTCGACAAGTTAGGAAAGGAGGCGCTTTCGCTTTACACTGTTTACTCACCTTCATATTCAACACATCTTTCATCCGAGCACTTAAGGACTTGCTCTCCTCCATTACCGCATCTTCTTCTTCTGCTGCTGCTTTTTTCTCTTCCACCGTCTTCAAATTACTGTCGGCCTGATTCGCTGGTTTAGCTGCTGCTGCTGTCACCACAGTCTGTCTCTTCCCGCCAAACTTCCTTCCTCTTTTAGCCATAGCAGCTGCAGCTGAGTCAGATGTGATCACAATTCCGCCCCCGCTACCAAAATGACCTCCTCCACCTCCTCCTCCTCCTCCTCCTCCTTCCCCTGCTGCTGCTGCGGTACTGCTGCAGAAGCTCCTCCCACCGCTGCCAAAATGTCCTCCTCCTCCTCCGGCCTCGCCCCCGCGTTCACCTCCTCCTCCTCCTCCTGCTGCTGCTGATGCTGCGACCCCACTGCAGAAGGTCCTCTCAATCATTCCCGCAAGCTTACACGTGTTCCCCCACCTCTTCGCCAACAAGGAGAAAGCTTCTTCTTCCTCCTCCCTCCCCATGCCATTCCTTGATCTGACCCCTAAGACAGTGCATGCTCTCCCATCAAAACCCACAGTTAAGACACCGTGCACACTAGGCAATGACCGATCACCCGATGAAACGGCAGTGGGAGTGGTGCCGAGCATGCTGGGGGAATGACAGCACCTCATACCTACCATGAGTGCTGTTGGTCCCGAGAGATCTGTCGTCGGGGTCGCAATCGACAGCCGAACAGAGCGGCCGAATAACGAGGGAGAGGGCGACCAAGTGCTCCTCACAACCCTGCCGAGAACGTAGCGAAGGTTCATTTCCAAAGTCGGCGGAGGAGGAGGAGGAGGAGAAGGAAGAGGACAAGGAATGGCAGGTCCAGGCCGACCACGTGGAGAAGGATGAGCGCCAACTGGTCCAGAGTAAGCGCAGTCGGACGAGGAAGAACAACAGATAGACGTGGAAAGATTGGAACGCCTAGCAGATGAGGATGAGGTCCACAGCCAATGTCGATGTCGGAGCAACACGGGAAACGAGGAGTCTAGCCCCCTGAGAAGAGAACCCCGGCCGCCTCCCATCTCCTCTTCCTTTCCCCACGCACCTAACAAAAGGTAAGAAACACTAAAGGATCCTTCCTTGATTGATGCCTCGAAACGCCTCGAATGAACTAGCAGCCCGTGGATCCCTTACCCCTTTTTCCTCCTTCGACCTTCCCTCCTCCTCCTCCTACAACTCCGTTGGCAAGCCAACAGCAAAACACGATCCCTCAACAAGGGACCGTTTGAAATACTACTCAATGAGTTCGTTCGGTCGAAGATCAAGAAAAAGAACACTGTCAACAGACTTAACATCAACTCAGACAAGCCCCCTTGTGTGGGTCTTGATTTTCCACGGACGGAGTCCTATCGATGACATTAAATAAGGCGTACAACCGATCTATCGTGCAATCAATCAATGCAGACAATCTAATAACTCAGCCAATCAAGCCATCGCTCGATTGAAGTGATTGATTAAGCTCATCGTGCAATCAATCAATGCAAACAATCTGATAGTAATTGCGTAAGCTCATCGTGCAATCAATCAATGCAAACAATCTGATAGTAATTGCGTAAGCTCATCGTTCAATCAATCAATGCAGGCTCGATTGAAGTGATTAAGCTCATCGTGCAATCAATCAATGCAGGCTCGATTGAAGTGATTAAGCTCATCGTGCAATCAATCAATGCAAACAATCTGATAGTAATTGAAAAAGCTCATCGTGCAATCAATCAATGCAAACAATCTGATAGTAATTCAGTACGCTCATCGGGCAATCAATCTATGCAGCCAATCTAATAACTCAGTCAATCAAGCCATCGCTCGATTGAAGTGATTAAGTAATTTACTGACCAGTCAACGGATATAGCTCATCGTGCAATCAATCAATGCAGACAATCTAATAACTCAATATAAAGCGATCGATCCAACTGTAAGTAATTCTAGTAAAATCACTTATTGACCAGTCAACGAGCTCATCCCCATTCACAGACTGACGGTCTATGTTGATCGCGGCAACATCCTATAGTACCGGTTCATTTCAACCCGCTGGACGAACCGTACCGGTTCATTTCAATCCACTGGACGAACAAATGGCCCGCCAGACGGCATTCCACCCGTTTACCAACAGGTAACCAATGCCTAACCCGTCTTCAGAGTTGGGTGGGTATTTCCCGCATCTCTCCGCGAAGGCGATGATCAATCAATCGACCAAGCCAGTGATAATCTGACAGTGACAATAAGCCTGACTGCTCAACGCCTGGCTGACCTTGAAAACACCGTACCCGCTCCAACCGTCGTTGAAGACACGGTGCCCCCCTCGACCGGTACCCGCTTCGCTGACGTTAAAGACACGGTGCCCGCTTATCACCAGCCTCCACGCGTCTTTACCGCTCTCATGTTTCGTTGAGGAACGATGCAAGCTAAGTGGTCTTCCCACGGGCAGGCACTAAGGTGGAACAACCCATCTTGCTCTTCACACCCGTCTTGCTCTTCCCCTCTCCAGAGAGCATGTCCCGCCCCTCAGATCCCGCGCCCGAGGCCATCATACACCAACAACTGGCTACCAGAGACGCGTGCGTCTGTCTTCGCCGTACGCTACTCGATGTACACCGTTCAAATCGTTAGATCGTCGCCTGTTGTGTCCCACAAAAAGACCAGATCGTCGGTCCGTCAAAATCTGGTATGAGTCGCGCCGCACTGGTGGCTGGATCCTCAGCGGCGGACGACCTGGCGTCGAACTGCTGGTCGAAAGAGGAGCGTCCTCACCTGCGCAGGAGCGGGCGTCCTAGACAACGAGAGAGCTCTGCTAATTGGGTTCAATCTAACGACCACGAAACCATTCGCCTCTCTTACCTTCAAGACCTCCCTGTCGTACCCTTCCTGCTTCATCACAACCAATGGCTGATCACCGTACCCACATACTCCAACTGCTCATCAGTGCGCCGCTCCTCTTATCTCCAGGGCTGCTTGCTGTCCCTCTCCTACTACTCACACGTGGTCCTCGACCCGCCCACCGAGAGACGATACTCGTTTACATCTCCCAACTAGCGAGAAACGACGACAGGCAGACTAGAAAGACGGCGAGCAGAGCATCCCGCTCTCCTTCCCTCGTGATCGCATAACTCCTCACACTATATCGTTGCGTCCCCCTCCCTTCACTCCTGCAGCGAAGCAGGCAATATATATATATATATATGTTATACGTATATATATATATCGTCAAATAGAACTGCCCGGTAAACCGTAGGCAGAGAGGGAGAAGAGGACAACAAACGAGGGGCTGTGACAATATACATATATATGTATGTGAAGTCCACCCATCGGAAGTGATCGCGCCAGATCGCATGGACCTGTGGCCTGAACCCCAGCGGAACTGCAAACTGTGGCCCAGCGGAACTGTCGAAAGAGAACACCACCAGCAGTCCGTATGGATCAAAAAAAAAAAAAAAAAGGGAGTCCGTATGAGACCCGGAAAAGCGGGAAAGCGGGAAAGGGACAAAAGAAAAAGTGTAGGAGGGCGCGGGTCGGACGGGGAGCAAACACCGCCACAACCCTCTGTCTGCGACCTACGAGTAGAAAGAACACAGGAATTTTTTCTTTTTACTTCTTTTTCAACAGAAAAAATGTGGACAGGCGGGAACGGGGTGCGATCCCTCGCGAAAAGTTGCGGTTTTCCGTTTCAAAGGTGGTCGTCGGGAGGCGCAACGACCAGCCATGCGGGATGTTTCGCGGCGCAAAATTCCGCAGAATCGCCGCGCAGATACCCCGATTGACTTACCGTGAGGGCACGGGTGCGCAGCCCGTATCCGCAGAATCGCTGCGCAGAATCGCTGCGCAGATACCCCGACAAAAGGTCGTTGAGATTCCAGAATTACCCCCAAAAGAAGCTTGGAAGGCTGGGAGCGTCCCGTATGCGGCGGCTGCGGGTCAATTGGGGTCGCGGCGAAACTGTGGTGGTGCCTTGCCTCGCCGCAACCCTCACCTGACCAGCGAAACGTCCATACGATGGGTCGCGTTCAGGGACGCTCCGCAGAGCTGCCATAGCTTTGTGGAGAATGCAGGCCATTTTAGGCCACTTCACAGAACGGCAAACTGGGGCCAGCAAAACCCACATTCTGGTTGTCGACAGAGAAGATTAGCCCCGATGGGAGGCCGGTAGCCCTCCGATGAAGCGCTGCGCTACCAGGCGTACTCGCTGTCCGACGTATTGACTTACCGTGAGGGCACGGGTGCGCCGCCCGTAGTTTGTTTGTTGTTGTTGTGGACGTGTGTGTGTGTGTGTGTGTGTGTATGTGTGTGTGTGTGTGTGTGTTTGTGTGAATGTGTGTGTGTGTGTGTGTGTGTGTGTGTGTGAGAGAGAGGGAGAGAGAGAGAGAAATCAGGCGCGGCGCCACTTTGTCAAAACGCCTCGATCGATAAGGCACCACGCTCCCCGCGCACACAGGGAGACTATCACTTTGTGAACGTAGAGGGAACGGGAGCGGTCGCCGCTGCTTTTGGCCTGTTTTAATTTCGACCACGACAGGCTTCGAATTCAAACCACCACTCTACCCGACGTTGGAAATTCGGGGGACCGGTAGCACAGGTCCATGAGGGCTACCAGTAGCACAGAGTGGAGAACCGGCAGAGTGGTGAATATGGAAAATGGGATGAATTTGCGCTATAAGCTATTTTGCAGTTGAGACAATTTTTTTGAATTTTTTAAAACATTTTTCCTAAAACGATCATGACCAAATCTACGGACCCTCAAGTTTTCAGACTTGTTTACGAGTTCTTCTGAGCGTGAAAAATCTTTGAAATAGGGGTACTTTTCCCGTTGGCCCACAAGTTGTCGTGTGCCAAAAATGGAAGAGAAGATTAGCCCGGATGGGAGGCCGGTAACCCTCCGATGAAGTGTTGCGCTACCAGGCGTACTCGCTGTCCGGAGACGGCAGCGCTCTGCATCGGCAGCGAGGTATGGGATTCAGGGCGTGGGGCGGAACGATGTCTTCTTCGTCGATCCCTAGGTCCGACCATCTCCTTCAGCTCCGACAAGGGGTTGTGTCTCCCTGTGGAATAATCTACAAGAGTCAAGTAATGAGTGCAGTGTGAACACGACGAAGGGAGAGGGAGTCTGGTACGGGACAGCGGGCACATCCAACAGCAGCACCTCTAGAGGTAGTGGGTGGGCAGACGATGGTGGTGGGACTAGTGTTGGGAGTAGCACGTGAGAACTATTGTTGATTATCTCGACTGGGAGCGTGAAGACCTAAGCTCGACGGGCAGCGGTGTCGGGCGCAGGAGTTGGACCAACCTTGCCGCGAATACACGAATGGAGCTTTCTTAGGCCGCTCCGGCCAAGTGCGTCAGCCATACCTCTCGCGAGCCCCTACGACAGGATAGGGCCTACGCGAGGCACAACTTACCTCTACCTTACCGGAGTTGTCACCTCCCTTCGGTGGGCGTATCCCCGCCGAGCTACTAGTCCACAGTACGAAAGCTACTCGGTTGCAATCGCATAGGTGGACCAGCCGAGGGGGTTTCTCGTTCGTTGTAGCATAGGGGGTACGCGCGGTAATACACCTATTGGACCCGCACGCGAACCGACATCTTGGGGGGCTGAGGTCCCAAACGTGGCTCGACATCGGTCGACTAGGACGCATCCCACACACCACGCGCACACCACTTTACGAACACAAAAATAAAACACACACACACGAAACGACACAACACAAACAACGCGACAACGCTCCTAGCCCCTTGGTAGTCATCCCATAACTCTCTGATGCGGAAATCGGATAGGCGTCGCGCGCGAAACTTAATATAAAACCGCGCGGACGCAGGGCTAACTCATATCGACTCGCAATGCAAGCGTACGCAAGCGGTCGCAATGATGGCGTACTACGTGGTACCCATACTCACGCGGTCCCCGTTAATCGCGACGGTCGCGTTCGACACTCAAGTGTCGGGTGACACGCGCCTTGAGGGTTAATCTTTCGACGCTGGACAACTGTCATGCGCGGTTGAAGACCACACCCTCTTCTGCACCCTGTGCAGAGGGGTTGAGTAGACAACTTTAAGTTGTCGAGGCGGTCGAACATCAAGGGGTTTGACTTTCACGGCTGCCACGGACTACAACGTCCAATCATACAACTCTAAAAAAGCAAGGGTAAGAACGAAATCCCCCTTTTCTCTCAAGACACAATTTGGTTAACCCTTATGCTCAATTACAGTAGGCCTCTCAAATACTAAGGGCGCTTATAAGTATATAAGGGTTAATTATATAGGACAATCACTTCTCACAGTCACAGTGGAGCTCCTCTCAACCATATATGTATGTAATCGTAGGCAGTCATATCTAGAAGCCAAACCACAACCATACCTGCAATCACATCAAAGATTCATCCAGAAGTCCACACACTACACGGGGTCAACTTCGACCATTCCTTGCACTCATACCCCTCGCTTTAGCCATACAAACCTCACTCGTGCAACTCTTAAATAAGTACTCAGTACTTTTGTTGGATGACCATTCAATAAAGTCCGGGTGAAAACATAACAAAACAGTTCAATCACAAGGCTAAAGCCTTTAGGTTGAGTGACAGGAGTGAATTGAAGTTGAATCGTAAACCGACGAATCGGCAACCGACCTATTATCAGTGATAACAGAAGATGATCCTAGTAGGATCAAGCTGAATCTAGTCCAAATTCTGAATCAACACGATCAAGAGGACCTGTAACACACTAGAGGTCAATACCCACGGCTAAATCTATAAGTTCATGGAGAATAATTCCCATATCACGATCTCACTCAAAACATCACAATTAACTAAGCCTAAGTCTACCCTCTAGCAGTGCCCAAAGCAAAGATAGACCAATGGCAGAATCTCCCCTATTCATGGTGGATCGCTAGAATCGCCACTGTCAAAATATAATTTATCTCCTCTAAATTATGAAAATTTTGGCAGCGTTTCCCGTAGGAAAAGTGCCTTTTCATAATTTATATCAGCCCGAATATGAAACCAAAAATAGTCTTTGACTTTTCAAAGCCCAATTTTGTCTAACTCCCTGAATTAGCAAGAATTTGGGCAGCACTCCCTTTAGAAAAGGAGACTTTCCAGATTTTTACTAAGTCATATATGAACTTTAGACAAGCTGAACCTTGAAAAAGTCCAGAATTTAACTAACTCCTTGGATTTGCAGAAATTTCGGCAGTGCTTCCCGTAGAGAAAGTAGCTTACCAAAATTTATACAAAGTCAAGTATAACAAAAGATTTCAGAAAATGCGAGAATCGATCTAAGTAAAATAAACTTTAGCTCAGAAAATGCAGAAATCGAACTAACTCCAATCGCTCTAGCACGTGGCAAGTT